TTTTTCAATATTTGTTCAATTTAATTATTAAAATATTATATAAGTTTAATCTTATTCAACCAATTTTAGCATTTTATATATTTTAAATTTAATAATAGATAAAAAAAAAAATTAAAAAGTAAATTTATCATCCTTAATTAAAATTTTTATTAATTTTAATTAGTATTTTATATATTTTTAAGATAATAAAAGATTAAAAAAAAATCTATAGTCGTAATCACAGCACAGTACTCCCACGTGAAAGTCGGGTCGATTTTTTGCCCATGACAAGTTTCTCTCTTGGAATTTCACATAAACTCGTTTTTGTTTCCCAAGTCCTAATCCTTGCATTATTTGGAATTTACCATACCAACTTTTTTTAAAATTTTTAAAATTTTATTTACATTGAATCTTCATATTAAAGATATTGTCAAGTTCAAGGTTTGAGATAGAGTATTAGAATTTGAGAAAGGAGAGTATCATACTGTTTACACCATAAATTGCAAAAAATTTAAAATCAAGTCACGTGTCAATTTTTTAAATAGATAAAGGAGATTTTGCCATATTAGATATACAATTTTAGGCTCCATTATAGATTAGCTGTCACATTGAAAGGAATGAGGTAAAAAGATAAGATTGTATTTTTTAATTATCTTTTTGAGTTAAATTGGATCTATTTTAACTTAAATATAGGAGAATGTTTCAATTATGGGTATGGATGGGTTGCCAAATAAAGAGAACAAGTGACAAAATCTGGAAGGCAATCTGACCCTGTCAAGAAACTGCTCATGATTTTTGAAACTACAGAAAGTGGGGAGTTACAGCTGGAAAAAAGAGAACAAAAGGGAAATTTTGGAAGAGAGAACACATGGTCAGCCCTACTCAAAACTTGCAAAATTTTCAGACTTTTGTTTTCTCTACAATTGCTTACTAATTTCAAATTTCAGCATAATTTTCAGTAAATCTAAGTTGTTTTTCATCATTCCAGTAGTCAAACTAGTATGAGTACTTGCTTCAGCAATTTCATTTCATGTATTGAACATCAAGCTTTTGAATTTCTTCAAGGTACTATTACTTTTCTTATTGTAATTAATTTAATGTTTATGATAAGTAGCGTTTCTTCAAATGATTACTTATATGGCATTCACGTTTCTTCTTAATTTCAAGTATGTTAGTTTAATTCTTGTTCATGTTTGTTTTAGTGTTACTTAGGGTTAAATCTCCAATTTTGTAGTAGTTTAATTTCCAGATCTATCAGTAAATAGCATTTTAATTTTACAATGAACATGTTTAATTTAATTTGGGTATATCTTGTTCTCATAAATTTACTTTAAATTGCATGCTATCTAGTTTAATTAGGATTTGTTAACTTTGATTCATGATAGTGTTTAAGTTTTTGGAGTTTTCCAAGGCAGATTTAGTAACCCATTCTATAGAAATGCATCATTTTCTCTTGCCAATCATCTGTAGGCATAGATTTTAATTTTAAGCAAATGTTCTTCTTGCCATCCGTAATGAGATCAATCATGAGAAAAGAGAGAGTTATTGGGAAAATCTTTCTTTTTTGCTTTCAGCAAAGTAAGTAGTACACCCGTATCCAAATTCTGCACGTGTAAAGCCACTAGAGTATTTTTGAGGAAACACATACCCTATCTAATATCAAAAAGATATTTTGTAGGGTGGATTGTATTTTAAGAATATAGTTTATCATATAAATTTATTAAAATATTCTTAACGAAACAAATTTTTATATTATTTCATTAAAAGTATTTTA